AAAATTAAAACTAAGATTAGTTAGAGTTAGGGTTAAGAATAAAATTAAATCTAAGATTTGTTAGAGTTAGGGTTAGGGTTAGGGTTAGGGTTAGTATTAGGTAACAGGAGCGGCGTGGAGGTGTTAGCTGTAGCAAGCAACTACTAAGTGAGTGAAGCAAACTTAGTTGGTATTGCTGAGCATTAGCGAAGCAATACAAGTTATATTGTCTTTAATAAAGTTGTTTTTAGAGAATGTTTAATTGCGCGTTGCTGATAAATATAATTAAAAACTATAAAGTTATTAAATAAAAATAAAAATAATTATTTTATTAAATTTTTTATTTAATAATGTTAAAGCCCATTGCTACGCACCGGGTTAGAGACTAGTATTTTATATTATTCTGCTAAGATTTCTTTATTAAATTCTATAGGGTATCAAAAAGTTTGATATTCTCTATAAATATACCCTCTATATAAAATCTCTTTAAAATGCACAGTTTAGTCTGGTCCCTGCTTATAATAGCATTATTTATTTTGCTCTCTATAAATACATACCCTCTCTAAGTGCACATTTTTGAAATTTTTTACTATAGTCCCGATGGGGTACATTTAGAGAGGTCCCTCTGTATACAATTTGCCAATGATAGAAATTTGCAGGATCATTTGCAATGTAAACGGTATGAAGAGGGTATTAAAGTTTCATGGGCAGATTTTATATAACTCACTAAAGAAATAATGCTCGGATTAAAATGCCTATGTGAAAATGGAAATATTCAACTATAATTAAATATTGATTAATTTTAATTTTACCAAATACTAAGCCACATTACTTGCATTAAAACCTATTAGAACTCTAAAAAATTTAATAAACAATGGCAAACCTCTGATCGCTGGCTTCGAGATATCAAAGCATAATAAAGATTGTTCATCAACTTCTTGTTTGAAGGTATGCCTGCATTACAGTATATTGAACTACAATGCAAATTATACAGTATGGGAAAAAAGTTAAACGTGATGAGCGATCAGACATTTATAGTCTCAATATATTGAACTTACAAGTTGGACTCACCCGTTCTCAGATCAAATGAATAATCATGACTTCTTTGTAAAAATCTTTCTCGATGATCGTGACAAACCACAAGAATATGCAGATCCTTACACGAATTATTGTCGGAACCAGAAAAACGACCCAAATTAGTTGATATTTGAATTATCTTGATAGATTATCAACAGAGAAAGCTATTAAATTTATAAAAAACAATTTGATCTAATAAATCAATAAATCAATAAATCAAT